TGTTATATTGTGTCTGTCTGTGTGTGGGTTTACCCTTTTCCAAAACATTTATTTGGAGCACAAAAAGAAAAAAAAAATTATGGAAATAATTCCGTTTTGTTGATGTTTCCTATGAGGTTATAACTTCTGAAAGTTGACCCAAATAGCATTCACACTCTGTTACTCTGAATTTTTACTACATTGGACTTTAGTGCCTTTGCAAATTTTACCATCTCACTGTGGGTGCTGAATGCGGGCAGTTATCAAGCAACTCTTAAACAACTTTTTCAAGAGTTTGATCCCGGCGAACCAGAAGCTCAGTTAGCATCTGTTACGACAAGGATTATGCAGGCACTCCAGAATAACCTAGATGGAAAGTCAAAACAATATAAAGACCCAGCGTTAACCCAGCTGTTTCTGATGAACAATATCCATTACATAGTGAGATCTGTGAGAAGGTTGGTTATTAATTTTTCCCTAATCCCCTGATAAAAATATTGTAAGATGGATATTTTATCTGGATTCAATGCCATTTTGCATATTGTACTTACAGGTCAGAGGCAAAGGACATGTTGGGGGATGACTGGGTGCAAATACACAGAAGAATTGTGCAGCAGCATGCAAATCAGTACAAAAGGATCTCTTGGGCAAAGGTTAATTTCTTTACATTCAATTCCTTGTGCTATAGAATCTCTGTGCTATTTTTTTAATACTCTTGATAATCTATTATGTTAAGATGAGTTACGGATATGAGCACCTGGTTCATACCTAGATACATTTCCAGCCTAACTACACCTTTCCTTTAAAGAGGTTGAGTTCAAACTCCTTCCCTCGTAAGTCTGGGAAGGTACCTAATGAGTAATGACATATTCACTGCTCCTTAATTTGAAATGTTATCTTCCCACCATTTATTTTACTTAGGTTGATTCATTTGTGAAACCAATTCATAAATACAGTCAATTCTGGATTTATTAATTTATTAAAAAAAATTAAAAAAAATAAAATAAAATTGTTACTTGTCGTTTGAGGGTAAAGGAAGAAGGTTGGGTCAGGCTTACCAAGCCGGTTTAATAGAGAGCTATTTATATGAGATGATGTTGCTGTTACATTTTGTTTTGGTATCGGAGAAGAGTAATCGAAATGTCAGGTTTTTTTTTTTTTTTCACCTTTCTGTTGCAAGTCATTATTCCTCTTTTCATTATCAGGTGTATATTCTTTCATTTCTTTTATAGGATAAGCCCTGGCTCAACGTTTTTGAGGTTTATAATAACAACGAATTTGTAGGCTTCCCTTGATGTCTCATACGACACTGTTCTCACATAAAACAAGCTGCTTGTTTTATGTAAATATGTACTAACTTCAGTATTGCAGTCGTTATGCCGTAGATGGGCGTTGATGATGTTAATCCAAATCATTTTTTAATTTCACCCTGAATTTGTGTGACGAGGATTTTATTAATATAGTTAGTGTTGTATGATCCTGCAGATTTTGCAGTGCCTCACTGTCCAAGGAGCTAATTCATCCGGTGGAGCGGACAGCAACAGTGGAGTTTCAAGAGCAATGATTAAAGATAGGTTCAAGACCTTTAACGTTCAAATTGAGGAGCTTCATCAGAGACAATCTCAATGGACTGTTCCTGATAGTGAGTTGCGTGAATCTCTTAGACTGGCTGTTGCTGAAGTCCTGTTGCCTGCCTATAGATCTTTCCTTAAACGTTTTGGGTATGTTTCGGTTAGGGTGTTTATTTATTTATTTAATTTTCTGTTTTCTAATTATCTCATTCAAAGTTTATCCTTCTCATGGTGATGAACATGTATTTAATCTTTCAGGCCCATGATTGAGAATGGCAAAAATCCTCAGAAGTACATCAGATACTCTCCCGAGAATCTTGAGCAAATGCTGGGTGAGTTTTTCGAGAGCAAGACATGGGGTGAACAGAAGCGGTGAATAGAATTGCATAGATTGCTTTCCTTTGTGTTTTGGAAACTTAGGTACTCATTAAAGATTGGTCTATAATGTAGGCGTATAGTCCTTTTATTCAAATTGATTTCTTTCCCTCTCCTTTAGTAACAAAATGCTTCTTGCCAGGCACCCAATTGGAAAATTGGCAATGAAGAGTTTATGCGTGATTTATTTATTTATTTCTCCTAATTGAATAGGGCTTTTAATCTCAGGCCCTCTCACGGGTTAAATATACCGAGCAAGAAAGATAAATATTTAAATCAGTTGGTAATTTAAAGACAGTATGTGGGACTAAATGTTTTCTTTTTCTTTTTATATTTTTTGTATTTTAAAATTTAAATGTATATTAAAAATATAAAAAGATAATGAAAAAAATCTTTAATGCGTATAAAATTAAAACAAAGCAAACTCAATGTACTCAACCTAAGTGTTAAATACATATTTACCCCAAACTAGCTCAATAAAATTTAAGCTTTATGTATTGGAAATTATGGGTGTGCATGACAACCTTTCCGAAATCATTTTTTTTTTTAATTTCTGTTCGCGGGAACAGAAATGGATAGAAAACTCGTTTGGTAAAATCGGTTTATTTTTTTGTTCCCGAGATAAACCAGTTTAATTTTTGTGCTAGGGAACAGAAAAAAGAATTAGAAATTTTCAGCTTTCTTGTTCCCAGGCACAAAATGAGAAATACTTATCTCTCTCAATTACTCTCCACCTCTATCATCATCACCACCACCACCACCGTCATCATCCCGACTCGACTACTGCCACCATCGTAGCCGCCGCCGTCACCAGCCCCCACCACCACGACGCCACCGCAAACGCCACCATCACCACCACACCACCTCCACCCATTACTACCACTATGTCACCGTCACCACCACCACCACCACAACCATCACCAATACCGCCATCAGCCATCACCATCATCAACGCAATCACTGTCGTCATCGCCGTCACCGCCACCATCGCCATCACCACGCCACTGCCACAACCATCATCGCCACCACTACCACCACCACGATGCCACCGCTACCATCACCGCCACTGTCACCAACCACCGCTACCATTGCCGCAGCCACTTGTGTCATTGCCACCGTCGCCGCCGCGACCAACCACCACCATCGCCACCATTACACCACCCCCACCACGACCATCACCACGCCATTGCCACCACTACCACCACCGCTACCATCACCACCACCACCACCACCACCACCATGATGCCATCACAACCACCACCACCATGCCACCGCTACCATTGTCGCAACCATTGCCGTCACCTCCACCACCACCATCCCCAGCACTACCGTCGCCGCTGCCACCATTACTACTACCATCGCCGCAGCCACTGTCATCATAACCACTACCACTATCATCACCACGTCATTGCCACCACCACTACTGTACCGTCGTTGTCGCCACCACCACCACGACCACACCATATGGGAAGGAAAGTGATGATCCGAAATTTGTTTATATTTAATAGGAATTATTTTTTATTATTTTATTTGTTTTGTTATCAAACTCAATTCTCATTTTCGAAATAAAAATAGAACATATTATCGAACACATTTTTTTCTCAGAAACTGTTTCAAGGCACAAAAATAGAAAAAAATTGTTTCTTTTCAGAAACAGTGCTAGGAAATAAAATGATTGTCATGCACACCCTATATGGTTTCGCCTTTCTGCTGCTTCTTCTTTTCAATCTTATTTTATGTTCTCTCTTTTTGGTGTAATTATTTTATGCTTTTAAAACCCAAACAAGTAACGTTTGTAGGATGTTATATATATATTTGTCCGTTTGGACTTTTGTATTTAGTTAGTCTACCTAGTATTATATATTAATAAAAAAAGGGGTATGGCAATGAGTTAGCGAGTGAGTTAAACGGGTTAGCCTTTTAAGTTAAAAAAAGTTTTTGTTTCTAATAAAGAAAAAGGTTATTATAGATTAGATTAATCATTTTTGAAAAAATAATCAAATAATACAATTTATTTTCTTTTAATATAATAAAATTCGATCGATTTAATTCAAAATGTAATTCAACTGAAACTAGGGGGGTTTTGACCAACAAAATGCAAATTTTAAAAAAATTCACCTGTTTAGCTCGTTGACCAAATGTTTTATCGGATTAATGCAGGAAGACGCGTTTCAGGTGGTTACGCGTTTAGTCGCGCACCTGACACATGCGTGTTTCTGACAAATCTGAACACATCTGTACCAGGTACGTGTCTAAATGTACCGGGTGCGCGTTTCTGACTGTGACGCGACATGCGTGCCTGAATATGACAATCTTTCGTCAGACTTGTCAGAACCGCGCACTTGGTACAGACGTGTTTGGTCAACAAACTAAACATGTGAATTTTTTTAACATTTACATTTTTTTAGTCAAAAACCCGAAACTAGGTATTATTACTTCCACTATTCTTAGTGGCTCACTGATAAAATATTCACCATTTTAAAGTGGAAGTACATTATTATTATTATTTTGTATACAGAAGTACATTATTGAATAGGTTTGTTTGTAACTTTTTATATATAATTAAATATGTTTTTTAAAAATTTATGAATTGTTTTTTTCAAAACGCATCCTCAGATGAATGAATATTATTTAAAATTCTGACTCAATTCTTTCTTATATTATTTTAGCATTACTCATTTAGTCATTTTTTATCACTTTATCCTGACAGTAAATTTCATCTTAAACCCACAATTCGGGGGTGACTAAACTAATAGCTAAAGGATAAACATCATTGTCAACTTACTACATTTGGCTTCGGTTACTTAACCAACATCTCTAATCTCTTTTTACATTTACGAAAAAATCAAACATGCGGTCATCACGCCTTTCTGTCAATCTAATTTTGTTTCTTTCCTTGGTTTCATCACACAAGAACCCTTTCCCATTGTTTTCTTCTTGGTTTATAGATTTCATATATCCCTCAAAGAAAACCAACATTACATTCATCAAATTTGCTTCTCTCTCCTCTTTGAGAATACCATCATTCTCATTGGGAGAGAGAGAAAGAGAGAAAAAAAAACCAAGAAAATCATCATGGCTTCTTCTTCCAACCAAGGAGAAGCTTCCCAAACAGAACCACCGCATTTGGCCGCCAATTCCTCAGACAAGCACGCCGGCCCAACACCGCCGCAACCGCCGCCGCCGCCAAAGCCAACGCCAACCACCACAACTTATCCCACCCATCCGCCACCCGGCTCAGCATACCCGCCGGAGGGTTACCCTTCCGTTCCCGGCGGCCAGAACCACCACGCATACCATCAAGCATACGCTTTATACCCAAACGGATACCCTCCCGGATACCATTATCCCCCCACCGCCCCCTACTACGGTCCACCACCACCATATCCCGCCGCCTCCGTCGGCGGCACCAGCGCCGGCGTCAGATTCTACCGGAGCTTCATATTGTGTTGTTGTATATTACTAACATTCCTTTTTCTTGCAAGCCTTGTCTTGGCTTTAGTGCTACGTCCACAACTACCTATTTACAAGGTTTTGTCCATGTCTGTCACGAACTTCACCGTCACCCCAACCTTAACCGGCGAATGGAACACCAAGATGTACATAGAGAATCCCAACGATAAGCTCAGGGCTTTTTTTTCTGACTTAAGGGTTGACGTTGTTTACAAAGATGGTGTAGTGGCGGTGAATTATGCACCAGGTTTTACGTTGGATAAGAAAGAGGTTACAGAAATTGGCGTAACAGGTTCTTCTAGCCATGCAAATGAAGCTTTGATGGATAAAACGACGATGGTTGACTTGGTCAAAGACCGAACCACTGGCTCTGTCACCTTCAGTTTGAGGTTGACTTCCATAAACGCGTTCAAGTCTGGTTCGTTTTCGACGAGGAGCACTCAGATAGTGGCCCTTTGTGATGGGTTGAAGCTTGTGTTTCAGAATAACAATTCCACTGGGGTTTTGAATAATGGGGGAAACCCCATAGAATGCGAGCTTTATGTTTGAACACTCTGCGTGTTGTTAACCTTTGTGTTCTGTTTTGATTAATTTGGAGGAGGAAAAAAGAGAGGAGGTTATTTATGTAGAATTGTATTCGATTCTATTTTTCTTTGTTTTGGGATCAAGGATGTAGAGAAGAAGAACAAGCCTAGTAGATATATGTTTAGTTTTAGCATGATTATATTTAGTTTTATTTCTTGCCCAAAGAGTCTCATAAATTATGAAGAAATGAATGTATAGGATGAATGATAGTTACTTCTTTATCATTGAAATTAGAACAAGTTAAATTGATTTGTAGATGTGTATGGAGGGTTGGCTTGCAAAATCAAGACTTGTGTTTGATTGCACGTGAATTAGTTATTAGTACATATGTAATCTTTGTCTTGACTTTACATATAGACGAGTGTTTCCTTAAGCTTTTTTTTTTAATTGTGAACCGCCTATACTTTACAATTGAGCCCTTGATTTGGCGTTGAGGTTCTCTAGAGTGGGAGGCAAAGAACAAGAAGAATTTTCTACCATAGAGAATCGTGAATGTTTGGCCTGATAAAATCGTATTCAATGTAGAATCTGTACGCCATGGGATTTATGGAAGAGACTATCGCAAGGGATGACAAATCATTGTGTACTAAGAGACTCGAGATCAAAGATGTGGTATTTGTGCATAGCAATGACAAATCATTGTGTACTAAAAGACTCGAGATCAAAGATGTTGTGGTATTTGTGCATAGCAACAACTAAAAGAGAATATGAATTAGAAAATGTGTACCTAAAATCTTTACTCTCTATTTATAAAGAATTTGAGTGAGTATCAAAATATTGGGGATAAAATAATGCATAATATTGCTTTTAGAAGCCGTGGGATCCATTGGATGGGTCCACAACACTTCGTATATTATCCATCTCAACAACTAAGCATGAGAAGAGACTAGCAAGTAATTCAATTTTTTTTTTTTAGTAAATACTAACTAGTGTTCAAAGACCCAATTTTTTTCTTTTATAGAGAACGCACCCTGATCTAGATCCATATTCTTAGTTGGGATCTATTTCAAGTTAAGGACCTACACTGTTAAATGGAACAACTCGAGATGGGTTTCACAAAAATCAGATGTTGTTGTTGTAAGTTTCTAATACTTAAATGGATGAGTCATGCTGCTTTGAGAGCCAGTATCTTGCTTGATGCAGAGCATTGACCCCACCTCTATGCCTCCACCAGGAGTGGATCTTTTTATATGAAAAAGTGGTCATGTTATTTGATCACAACCACTTATTTAAAAATTATATTTCTTTCTTTCTTTTTTCATCATCAATGACTGATTGTTATCAAATAACATGATCACTTTTTCACATGAGAGAATTCACTCTTAACTCCACCTCAATCACCCATCAAGGCGCGCCACCATGCAGATAATTATGATAAAGCTTGTAATATTATTGTCAGGAAAGTTGATAGATATTTTATTTTATTTTATTTCATACACTTTGTGTAAATTTATTGTTATTTCATACATTGTTTTTCATTTCTACTGCATTAAATTATTATGAAGATTATTGTAATTGATAATCGTTTGATAATTAATGTAACGACAATTTAAGATCTCCAGGGAAGAATAGGTAGACGAGGAGAAGAAAGGGAACGTGAGGAGAGAAAGAATAAGGAGAGAGAAAGGTGAATCAACTTCTGCTTCTTATTACCCTAAATCAAAGTCATCATATAGTGCCTTATTCCTATTGGGCCACCAATTCAAATACAGACTACAGTAATTCATTAAAAAAAATATAAAATGATATAGTAAGGCTGATAGTTACTAGAACCTCATATCCTTAACTAGTCTCATAGTCTTTTAAATAGGTGGGCTGCTTGCGGGCCCGTTTAGCCTTCTCCTCTGAAGCTTGAATTGGGCTTATCTCCAAACATGAATCTGTTACATTCCCCTGTTCTTCAAAATTATCCTCGTCATCGAGGATGTGAGCTGCTTGCGGTCCAATAGGATGCGAGGGATGGTGAGGCAATCCAATGATATTGTGGGAACAGTTGGGGAAGTCACTTAAAGTGGTGATGGGATGTATCTGGCAAGGCTGTGGTTGGGACACGCAAAAGTTGTCTTGGGAAAAAGGATTAGGCAGAGGGGCATTTATTGGGGGGTTGGTAGCCGAAGGGGTGTTAAGAGAGTTGGGTTTAATCAGACTTTGGTCTTCAGTTTGGATGTGTCTCTGTATAGTCTGTGGTTCTAGAGAGGAAGTAGGATTCTGAAGTGTGACGAAATCCCTCACCATACCCGAAACTTCCTTCAAGCCTCTTGAGTCATTGTTCCAAGTGTGCTGGGTTAGCTTGAATGCCTTCTGTAAAAATCCAGTCCTCATCTTCCCATGTGTTGTCTGCCGGTGGTAACCCCTGCCACTGAACGAGGACTTGGTTGACCCTTGTTCCTTTCCGCCATATTTCCCGTTTACCTACAACTGTTGCTGGGGTATGGGCCAATGGCATATCCCGTGAGGACTCAGGCAAGTCATGGATCTGATACTGCCGGTCAGATTTGAAGGGTCTCAAAAGCGAGACATGGAAAACAGGGTGGATCCGAGCCAAAGGTAGTATCTTTAGACGGTAAGCCTCCGGACCCAGACGTTCAGCTACCTCAAATGGTCCATAAAAACGTAAGGCGAGTTTTTGGGAGGATCGGTGGTGCACGGATAGCTGACGATAAGGCTGGAGTCGGAGTAAGACTTGTTCCCCAACGGTAAAAATTATGTCTTTTCTCTTCTTATCGGCTTGATTTTTCATATGCGTTTGGGCCCTGAGCAAATTTTCTTTGAATGTTGCGAGGATGGATGCTCGTGAAGACAAAACATCATCTACCGCCTCGTTGGAAGAAGAGCCCAAAGTGTAGGATAAGAGGTTTGGTGGTGGTCGGCCAAACATTATCTCATATGGAGTCATGCTCGACGAACTATTAAAACCTGTATTGTGGTGATACTCTGCCCAAGCTAGATATCGTGACCAAGAAGAGGGATGGTCAAAGGTAAATGCTCTTAAAAATTATTCCACATATCTATTCACTCTTTCAGTTTGACCATCCGATTGAGGATGATAGGCTGAACTGAAACGCAATGTGGTTCCTTGCAGGATGAAGAGTGTAGTCCAGAATTTACTGAGAAATAGAGGATCACGATCCAAGATAATAGACCGTGGCAGACCATGTATTTTCCCCACTGTGTCCCAAAACACCTGAGCTATTTTTGTAGCTGTGTATCGGAGGGGCAAAGCTGCAAAGTGTGCTCCTTTGGAAAACCTATCCACAATGACCAAAATTGCTGTAAAGCCATGTGAGGGTGGTAGGTGAGTAATAAAATCCATACTCAAATCAGTCCAAGTCTCTTCTGGTGGTTTTATGGGTGTTAACAAACCGTATGGAAAATGGTTGGGAGGTTTGAATTTTTGACAGATTTCACAGTTGGCCACATACTCAAGTATTGTTTTTCTCATTCCTTTCCAGGTGAAATTTTGGGCAATCCTCTGCAGAGTACCAGTGAGGCCAGAATGACCCCCTTGCACCAAAGTATGAAGACCATGTAATAAATGAGGGATAATGGACGATGTAGCTGGCAAGACAATTCTATTGCGGAAGAACAACAACCCCTCTTTATTTTTCCACTGATCCCATTTTGCTGGCTCTGTTTGTAATTCTGTTAATATTGTAGCACAATATGGGTCTTGTTGTAATTCTTGTAGGAGTAGGGATTTGTAATCACTAATTGGACCACTAAAAGCAGCTAGATGGGGTGTGGTTGAATCAGAAACCCCTTCTGGATGTCTGGATAAAGCATCGGCCACAATGTTGGCTTTACCTGATTTGTATGCAATAGAGTAATCAAAGCCCAGTAGCTTTGACAGGAACGATTGTTGTTCCGGGGTTTGGATAACCTGGTTCATAAGGTTATGCAAGCTTTTGTGATCTGTGCGAATGGTGAATGGTACTCCCAACAGGTACTGTCTCCATTTGGCCACTGCAGATGTGATTGCAAACATCTCACGTATGTATGTGGATTTGGTGCGCATAGAGGGTGCCAATTTCCTACTATAGAATGCAATTGGGTGATTGTTTTGTAACAAAATTGCACCAACTCTAATTCCTGAAGCGTCAGTCTCCACAATAAAGGGTTCCATAAAATTGGGCAATGCTAATATTGACGTGTCTGTCATAGAAGCCTTGAGCTTAACAAAGGCATCTGATGCAGCTGATGACCAGCGAAACCCATCTTTTGTTAGGAGGTCTGTTAACGGTGCTGCAATGGAAGCATAATATCGGATAAACCGACGATAATACCTAAAGAGGCCTAAGAAGGCTCTAACTTGAGTTGCAGATTGGGGAATAGGCCACTTCTGAATCGATTGTGTTTTGCTGGGATCAAGTGCTACGCTTTCACCAGAAATAATGTGTCCTAAAAATTGAATTGACGGTTGGGCAAACAGACATTTGGACAACTTTGCGAACAAAGAATTCTCCCTTAAAATTAGTAAGACCCGTTGTAGATGGTTAATGTGCTCCTAGAGACAAGAACTATAAACCAAAATATCATAAAAAAAATTACTACAAATATACGTAGAAATTCAGAGAAGACCTGATTCATGGTAGCCTGAAAAGTCGATGGTGCATTTGACAATCTAAAGGGCATGACCAAAAATTCGTAGTGGCCGTGATGTGTGCGAAATGTTGTTTTATGTATGTCTGTAGGATGCATCTTAATTTGGTGATATCCTGAGCGTAGATCCAGCTTTGAGAAAATGGTTGCACCGTGTAATTCATCCATCAATTCATCAATTGTGGAATTGGAAATTTATCACTCACAGTTACAACATTTAGGGCACGATAATCAACACAGAAGCGCCAAGTCTCATCTTTTTTTTGACCAATAGAACCGGGGAACTAAAAGCTGAGTGACTAGGTCGGATTAACCCATTGTGCAACATCTCGGAAACCAATTTTTCTATTTCATTTTTCTGGAAG